GGAATTTCTCAATCATTATTGTTTCAAATATTTCTTCTGTTCCATTCTCTTTCTTCTAGTATTCCCATTATGTGTGTGTTGCATCTTTTGTAGTTAACTGAGATATTCTGTTCAATTTTTTTTTTCTTTTTCAGTCTTGTTTTCTTTGCTTTCCAGTTTCAAGGATTCTACTGCTATACCCTTTAGTTCAGAGATCTTTCCTCAGCCATGTCCAGTCTACTAATGAGCCCATCAAAGGCATTCTTCATTTATGTCATGGTGTTTTTTTCTGTCTAGCATTTCTTTTTTCTTTTTCTAGCATTTCTTTTTGGTTCTCTCTTAGGATTTCCATGTCTCTGCTTATGCTGTCCATCTGTTCATGCATGTAGTCTACTTAATCCACAAGAGCCCTGAGCATGTTGATGATAGTTGTTTTAAATTCCCAGTTTGATAATTGCAACATTCTTTCCATATCTGGTTCTTTTCTTTAAAAATTAAAATTTTAATGTTTTTATTTATTCCTGAGAGAGAGAGAGAGAGAGAGGCAGCGTGAGCAGGGGAGTTTTTATTTATTTCAGAGAGAGAGAGAGCTACAGAATCTGAAGCAGGCTCCAGGCTCTGAACTAGTTGTCAGCACAGAGCCCGACACGGGGCTCGAACACACAAACTATGAGATCATGACCTGAGCCGAAGTCAGACGCTTAACCAACTGAGGGTGCCTTAACCCAGGCACTCCATTCCATATCTGGTTCTGATGCTTATTCAGTCTCTTTAAATTGTGGTGTTTGTTTGTTTTTGCATTTAATATGCCTTGTAATTTTTTCTTGGTAGCTGGGCATGATAAATTGGGTAAAAGGAACTGCTAAAAATAGGCCTTTAGTAATGTGATAAAAAGATTTGAGGGGAAGGGAAGTGTTCGGCAGTCCCAAGATTAAGTCTTCATCTATTAGTGAGCCTATGCCTCCGGCCTGTGAATTTCACAAGTGTTTCTCAGTTTTTTTCTTATCTCTTAGGATGGACACGATAGCTAGGGTGGGCTAAAGCTGACTCTTACCCTCCTTTCATGTGGAAGAGTTGAGCTGACTAGAATTGGGGCTTTCCCTTTCCCCAGGCAGGTCAATTAAGCTCTGACAAAACCCCAGGGCATTGCAGTTTGGTTACCTTCTTAACCAGGCAGGTCTTGCTGAGAACAAAGTGCTCTGGCTTATTTCAAAATGGCTCTCTTCCCCTCCCTCGCTGCAAGAACAAGGGGATTTTTCTCTGATATTTACTGTGAGAACCTAGTTGACCTCTCAGAGGTAAATTTCATAAATTGTACTCCCTCCCCTCCATGACTGGGTCCCCTCGGACTTTTTAACTCTCAGACATGTCCACACTGAGCCTCCAGCCATTCGTCATTAGGGCTCAGGTTTTTCTACCTTGGCACTGGCTCCTCGAACTGCTTCCACTTGTGAGTCTCTGCTCCAGTAAGCCAACCTCCCGATATCCACCTCTGTCTCCAATTCTGGGGGGCAGCCGTTTGTCTGGTACCCTTCCTTATTTTACAAATCCAAGAAGAGTTGTTAACTTTTCAGTACATTTAGCTTTTCACTTACTGTTGGGATGGAATGGCAATGTCTAAGCTCCTTATATGTGGAACTGGAAACTAGAAATCTTGTTCTTGGTTTTTTTTTTTTTTTTTTAGATGCAATGTAAAGCTTTAAAAAAGATATATATTAAAGAAATAAGAAAAATGAGTAGCAGTTGTGAGCATGAGCTCTGGAGACAGACTGCCTGGGTTTCTATCTTAACTCTGCATTTATAAGAGTTATTTTGTAGCTTAAGCCTTAGCTCTAGAAGAGCTGTAAAATAAAAATGGGCGCTATATCATAGTTTGAGGTGAGGATTAAATAAAATAACATATGTAAATAGTGTCTAGTACATAATAAGCACTGCCACATTTTTAAAATTTAAACAATTATTTGAATGCCTATGATCCTCCATTCTAGATGTCAGAGATGCAGAAGTGGAAATTGGAACCCCCTCATAGAGCTGATGTTCTACAGGCAGAAGATCAACTAGAAACATGTGAACTAATAAGTGAACATTTTCTGATAGTAACAGTGGTTTGAAGGAAACCAATCAGACTTAGGTGATAGAGGGGAAAGGAGGGCAGCTTCAGATTGAGTAGTCCAAAAACATTTTTCAGACAGAGGGACACTTGTACTGAGAGCTGACCGGTGAGGAAGCAGCCAAGCAAAGATCTTTCTGGAAAAAGAGCATCACAGCAGGGGAACATCAAAAGCACAGGTGTGATGGTTGAAGTAAGTTTGGCTTGATCAGGCTGCTCATGAGGAGTACAGGAGAGAAACAGCATCTGTATTGCTTTAAATAACACCAACACCTCTGGGCCTTTATTCAGAGGATGAGCTCTCAATTTATAATTTCATTTTTGGAGAGGGAAAGGAGCATGGTTTTAGAGGGATTCTAGCGATGATCCAGGGGTCTGGAGAAGAAGGGAGTCACAATCATCAGAGTCCTGGGATTCAGGGGGGAAGTGACCAGCCTGTTTTGAATAGGTTTTTTAGGTTGGGGTGGTGATCTCTGCTCTCCAGTACCCTACCCCCAACACACACACAAAGGCCAGAGGGGTTAAGGTGGGTGTGAATGAACAACTCAGAGGATAAAGAGATATAAGCTAAAAGCTCAGAAGAGATCTATACTTGGATCTTAATGATATTGTGCTTTCCCCTGCCCCCAAGTGCTTTCTCATTCTTGCTGAAGCCTGTAGTCATTTCTCTCAGTTGACATGTTAGTCTAAAAATTCTCTTTTCTGTACTCTTTCTCCACCTCCCTCCTTTTGGAGGGCAGAGACAAATCTCTTGGGTATAACTAAACATCCAGAAAAATGCTCAGCAAATACCGCACGTTATTACTTTAACTTGTAAAAACCCAATTATTTACCCTACCATAATTAAGTCCTTTTCCAGACATAAAACTCCCCACATGCTGAGTGAATATAAATTTTCATTGGTGTTCATTTGACCTTGCCAAACTAGCCTGAAAAGTGTGTCCCCTTTTGCCAAAAAAAAATTTTTTAGTGTTCTTCTCAATAACTAGAGTTGAAAGGGGAAAGTGATACCTCTGTAACTCAAACCAGATCCTTCTGTAGTAATACCTTGGCAAGTGACAATGTGATGAAATTGTTTTATGCGTGCATGCTTTTGTTCTCTATCTTAATGTTTTTGAATGCAGAACCAACCTGTTTATTATTCTGCTGCTGCACAATGGGAAAGGGAGGTAAGAGGATTGCTGCTCTCCCAGGAGCTGCAAACAAAGTTTCTTAACAAGAATGCCTGCTCCTCACAGCATCCATGGAAATGTCCAGAAATAGTACCCACTCTCAACAATCTCTGTTTTCTAAATGGGAAGCATTTTCTGGATGAATCTAAGCCCAGTCAAGGGTACCCTATGGCACCAGTTCAAACATTTAGGGAGTGTTTGCCCATAGGGATTTATTCAGATGCCATCTTCCTTTTTTCTCAAATTCTTGGCTTTGGAGGCATTTCATGGTTCTTAGCAACTCTGGCAGAGGGTAAATAAGAGGTGCAGGGGAGGACACGCAGGCCACCTTTATCTCCTCATTAGCAGGTATGGGAAAGGCTTAGGTGGGTGGTACAAAGGACTGAAATCGTGAAATTCAAGAATTCTCTATAGGTTTTCATTAGTCCCACCGTGGCTAGCTGTTTCATGAATAACAGAGAGTGACTCTAAAGGAGTTGACTCACTGCTTGCACGTGAGTGTGCACATCTTTGTGTGAGTTTTGTCTTTGTAGCGTGGGTGGGGATGGATTAATTTAAATTCTCTTTCCCAACCTCCAGTCACTGCTCCAGGTCTGGTCATTAGCAACAATGTGGTTTATTTGCAAACGCCCCTCCCTATGCATGGAGAGAGTTCCAAACTCTTTGGATCCTACTTAGTATGTCCCCAGTTTGGACTCAATTGTCTAGACTCTAGAGACTCAAGATTCTCCAGTTCAAATCCTTTTCTGCTCTAGAGCTCATCAAGTTATCAGCAGCCCCTCAGAAAACTGAGTTTTCTGTGTTGGTTTTAAGAGATCAATCGAATTACCGAAGATATCAAATCTACGGACAACAGATGCCATGAAGAGACTGAAGGGTCTAGTGGTCCAGGTGGCTAAGCCCTTTTCCCCCCTGCTGAGAGCTTCTTTATGCACATCACATTTGTGATTATGATAAGCAAGGTCACAGAGCAGTGAGAAAATGTAAGCTAATCGCTTGGTGCATGTCAAGAGATACAGCATGCTGAAGCCTCCCAAGAGAACCTTGAGAAGGAGAGCAGGTAGAGAAAGCTATATCCATCAGAGATATTACAGGTGTGGAGGTGTGAGGGAGGCCTTGAGAATCTGGAGGGACAGCTCAGACAACAATGTTTCTTTACCTGCAACGGCATTAGGCTCGCTAAAATGTCCATGTGGGAATTACAGTGTATGCTGTTTTAATTAAAGCAAATTGTATTCTACCTTGGAATTGTAACTAATTCTGTGTGCACTTTGAAAAATTCAGATTTAAAAAAAATCCTTTCAATCAGCAGCTGAGATTTCGAATAAAAGAGGTTGGAAAATAATCCCATGTGTTTCCAATTGGATGAATTGTTTGCTTGTAAAGTTATTTCCTAAGATTTTTTTTCAATTAACATATTAGATCCTTGTGGAGTACTTTGGATAAATGCCCAAGTTGCTCTCTGGTTAAGTAGAATAGCACAGAGTCTGTGTTCTGGGAACCCAATCCTCTGATTAGTGAGCAGGTCAAACCTCACCTTAATTATTTCTTCTAAAAATCAGAAGGCTTTTTATGATTATTTGAGAAGGTTGCTTTTTCTCTTCCTTCTCTGTCAGATAAGCATTTTGGCTATGCTGCTTAATTTTTGAGGATAAACAAAAGGAAAAAAACCCCACTATCAATCACACTTGTGATGCTATTAATTACCATTTTGTTTTGTTCTGAAATTTCCACTTCAGGCAGATTTTCAAGCATCCAGACAGAAGCAAAATGAAACACACGTATGCTATGAGCATACGGCTTATTGCCACAAACAGAACCTATGAGAAACCGGAGGAGGTAATCTTTAACAAGTGAAGGAAAGTAAAAAGTGTGTGTGTGTGTGTGTGTGCGCGTGCGCATGTACGTTCGCACAGGTGTCTGTGTGTGTGTAGAAGGTGAATGGGGGAGACTCTGGTCTCTATTTCGTCCAAGTTGAAATAGAAAGAAATCAAAGGAAAGAACAAATGTTTAAGTGAAAGATGTTAATGTGAACCAGGCTGCTAATTGGTAATGTCTATAAAGAGGCAGGGCTAGCCTAGATACACAATTATGAGGAGGGTGGGATTTGCCTTCAGTGTGGAAAAATAGATGGGACATTGTCGCTCTCCCATTGCAATGCATTCCTACTCTACCAGTGGCTGTTGATTCATTCATGCGTCCATCCATTCCATCACTCTGTCCTAAATGTCTACCAGTTACCAGGCACTGAAGATACAACAGTAAAAACCAGAGCAACTGACCCCCAGTCCCTTGTGCTACTTACAGTCCCAGTGAAGGATGGGCTTACACCAGACACGGCCATGCCGAATGAGCCATGCTAACATGAGGGGTGGCCAGGTAGTTCTGGGAGCACTTGGTGGGGCTGTCCAACAGCATCTGGGGATGGCGGTGAGCTGTCAGGAAGTGAATTTTCTGGGGAAGTGGCATTTTAGCTGAGGCCCAAAAGCATAAGCCAGAGAGCAAAAAGGAATGGCAAAGAGGAAGGAAAACATTGTGAGAGTTAGTATGTTGGAGGAACTAAAAAGAAGTTTGTGTGTCTTAAGTGAGAAGTTTGGTAGAAAACATGGCTGGGGGAGTGGGCAAATCTTAGAACCATGTTGATTTGAGACCTGACTTCTGAGGTCTGCACAGGCTTAGAATCAGATGTTGCTGAGTTTCATTCGCAGTTCTGATCTCTCCCAGACACCTGGGCAAGGCACTTCACTTGGAAGCCTCATTTTCCTTATCTATAGAATGGAAATCTACCTACTTCATAGGATTGCTTGAAAAATTCCATGACTGGACATGAATCCAGATGGCAGATCCGAGTAGTCAATTAATGTGAGCTCTGGCTATTCCTTCTCTAATGGTCAAATACAACAGCATTTCCATATGGAACAATATCTAAGAACACAAATTTTAAAGCCATCATTTTAGGCATTAGCCAGGGTAGATGTGTTGACACCGTGAGGTGGTGTAACTTCCTGAAGTGTCTCAGTCACATATTCCATATGGAAGTTTGGTCATATCTCTAGTTCTAAGACAATGAAGATTTCCCAGCAGTGGAGTCACTTGATAAAATATCATTTTGGCCAGCCTTTCCATCTGCTAGTACATTGTCCTGATCATTCATGTTGTTTAATAAGATCCTTAAAGTACTATCACGTCCCGCTCTGAGGGGACACAGGAAGTAAATGAAATAAATAGCCATACGCAAGGGTTACTAATACATGAGATACCGTGTTTTTGTTAGCAAGAAAAAAAAAAAAACTCAACCCCTAAACAATTATTCTGAATATGTATTTTTTTTTTAAAGAATGGTTTAGGGGTGCCTGGGTGGCTCAGTCAGTTAAGTGTCTGGGCTTCAGCTCAGGTCACGATCTCATAGTTAGTGAGTTTGAGCCCAACATTGGGCTCCATACTGACAGCTTGGAGCCTGGAGCCTGCTTGGGATTCTCTCTCTCTGCTACTACCCCCCATCTCAAAGTAAACAAGTAAACAAAAAAATTAACAAAAGAGAACAGTGTGTTGAGATCTTGCAGTTCTTTTGATTGCTTTTCATATCACTAGGCTCAAACTAACAAGACTTTTCTCAGTAGACGGACCATGCACAAAGCAGAAAAGCTCTCCTGAGCCAAAAAGAGAAGTCTGTTGCCTAATTTCTTTTAGCCCCTATGCCTGGGGGCTTAGTTTTTCTGAATGAGCGCTTTAACACATCTGTACGGAAAATCTGTTCTGTACCAGGTAACTGGGATCACAGACATGAAGGACACACTTTATACTCTCCGGGAGGGCATTGGTCTGCTGGGGGAGACAGAGAACCAGTAAGTTAGGTTTTTTTTTTTTCCAGTGTTTTCCAATGGCCAGCACCCATGCTAAGTGCTATATATGTTTTATTAGAGTGGATTCTCTAAAAACAGCCCTTTGAACAAGGCCATGTTACGTTCAATTTGCAGATAAGAAAATTGAGATTTAACAGTTACTTGCCCAAGGATGGCTAGGAAACCCGTGGCTGAGCTGGGAGGAGCTGGGCAGTCTGACCCCTGAGTCCCGCTGGGAATGCTCCCACATACCTTCTGGCATATGAATAGGTTACTACAATGTGTGGTTTTGCATGTACTATGTACTGTGGAAGCAATACTGACAGAAGTTAGGGAGAGAGGAAGGGAGAGCCCGAACCAGGGCCACTTTCCAAAGGAGGTGGTAGTCTTTGAAATGAGATTTAAGGGCTGAGGAGGATGTGTCCAGGTGAAACGCTGGAGGCAAGGAGTCACTCTTTGAGCTAAGGGAGCAGCATTTATACTTTCCAGGAGAGAAAGGCTTCAAGGAAATGTAGGAAGCTCAGAGGAGCACTTGGTTATCCGTGTCAACAAAGGAAACATGTGCGACAGATGATCTAAGATTAATGTCTATTTGGCTTCTGTATAGATAATGTTTTTATTTATTTATATCCTGCCTCACTCCACAAAGGTTCTGAGGTAAAATTCATTACACGATTTTTATGCAGTGACCTTCCTAATTAAGTTTTTCTCAGCACTGTCATATTCGTCTTTGTATTCCCCGAGCCATATGCACAGCAACGTGAATAAAAGTTGAATTGAATTTACATACTTTGAGCACAATGTAAGTAGTTAGCAAGGGCAACTGGTACCAGAAGCTTGGTGGGAGGCGAGGAAAGAGGGGCCAAAAGTTAAAATTGCTTAGACTGAATACAGTATTTTACTCAGTCGAAGATGCCAGTGATCAGAGGGCATGCTGCTACTCCGTGTGCTACTAGGAAAGAAGAAAACACTGCCAATTAAATTGAAACACAATGTTGAGTCACTATCTATTGCAAGATGCAATCTGTTTTCAGATATGCTAAAATATGAAAAGCCACGTGTCTTTAAAGAGATGATATATGGTGATGATACTATCCCCTCACCAAATAGTCAGAAATTCTAAAAATCAATGGTACTCTGAGCATGAGAGAAAATGAACACCCTTACGCCATTTTCAATGCCAACTTGTCTAACCATCCAAACCCTAAAGATTCTGGAAATGCTTTGACTTAACAATTGTACCACCAGGAACTGAACCTAAGGAAATAAACATAAAAGTTTTTAAGGGTGTAATCACAGAATTATATATAGTCATAAAACATAAAGAAGAAATACCCTAAAATGTTCATTACATATATATATGTATACATATAAGTAAACATATATAATGTTATACATATCATTACGTAATATAATATATAAGGTATAATATGTGATATGTGATTAATGTAATGTGATAGCTATATAAGTTTACAGTTATATAATAGATTAAAATGATGACAGAGAAATATTTATTTAAATGGAAAAACATTTTATAATAAATTAAGTTTTACAACTCAGGTGATAAAATATGTGCTATAAGACAAAATTACTGCTGTGAAAGAAAAATACATTTCCATCTTCTACTTACATAGGAATAAAGTCTGGAATGGCATATATCAAAGTATTAACAGGGGTTTTCTGGATAAAGGATGTTAGTTGATCTTTTTCTTTTCTCTGTGTTTTAATTTTTTAAAAATTGGAAACCCAGACACTAGTTAGACATAGACTTTTACATAGACCACATGAATGTGGGTAACGGAAAACCAACTAACTTGATATAGAAACGCTCTTTTCTATGGGGTGGGCTCCTGAATCTTTCCTGTTTCCTAAATGTGCCTGGCTGGGCTGGTTCCAACTGAGACTCTGTTTAAAAGATTTGGAATGGGCTGGGGCACCTGGGTGGCTCAATCGGTTAAGTGTCTGACTTTGGCTCAGGTTGTGATCTTGCGGTTCTAGAGTTCGAGCCCTGCATCAGGCTCTTGTGCTGACAGCTGGGAGCCTGAAGCTTGCACTTGATTCTGTGTGTGTGTCTCTCTCTGTCCCTCCCTTGCTCATGTTCTGTGTCTCTCTCACAAAAATAAATAAACATTAAAAAAAAAAAAAGATCTGGAAAAGGCTGTTTGATTCCCAACTGGAAATACAACTTCACCACCTGGAGTTTACCACAAAAGCTCATACCTAAAATGAGAAAATAAATACTGCAGTCCACAAGTATGCAAGGGTCTGGGGAATGCCGATTGTCTGGTGTCATCGTACTCTGAGCAAAGTATAAGATCCTGAGCTCAGGCAAGACAAGTTCCAGGTTCTACAACTGAGAGGGAGGGTGATGATCAGAAGTCATGGTTAGCCTTCAATTTTTATCCTGGCTAAAATGGAAAACCTCCAGATCCGTTTCTAAGCACCACACCTGCTACAAATCCACAGGGTTTGGTTTCTGTTTTGTTTTTGGCAAGTCATTTGTAATTCTTCACAGCTGAAGTCATATTCTGACAGGTAAAGCCTTGGTGGTCTAAACTCCACTTCAGGGATGAAGTGCAGCAACGGACTGTATCTATATAGTGAACTGGTCTGCCCAAAGTTCACAGGAGACATGGTTTTTGAATAGCCAGCCATACAGTTCCTGCTTGAATAGATAAGGCTGTAGACTGAATGCATTCTGCTGGTATTTTTTACCCCAATTTCATGAATTACCTTTTAATACATTTTTAATATAGCTTTATATTTATTTACAGCTTGCCTTAAAAAATAAGCTTTTCTTTACATTTTTCAAGGATTATATATCTAACTTTTCCTTAATAAAAAGTTTAGTTAAGATAAAGATTTAATTTTGCAATCAATTTTTATCTACTTGTTAATAGACATGGGCTCGTCATTTCATTTTTCACCTTTGACATTTTGATCCATTTGTTTTCTACCTGTCCATTATCTATTATCTGTCTTTCTTGTATTTACTTATTTATTTATTTTTAATTTTTTAACAATTATTTTTGAAAGAGAGAGAGAGAGACAGAGTGTGAGTGGGGAAGGGGCAGAGAGAGAGACATACACAGAATCTGAAGCAGACTCCAGGGTCTGAGCTGTCAGCACAGAGCAGGACGCGAGGCTTGAAATCACAAGCCTTGAGATCATGACCTGAGCCAAAGTCGGCCGCTTAACCACCTGAGCCACCCAGGGGCCCCTATCTTTCTTTTATACGATATTGGACAGTTATAACGTAAAAGAATAAAACAAAGATTTCAAGTGACACAGAAGCCTAGGTAAAAGCAGGGAAGGATATAGTATTTGGGGAATGTTTGGGTATTACAGCAGGCATTTGCTGTTTTTCTTTCTTACACTATGTTATTCTTCTAGATAAGAGCACCCTGACTTCTTTTCTACCTTAACTTAATCTTTACCCCTTTGATTATCTTTTTTTTTCCTTTAGTTTATTTATTTATTTTGAGGGTGGAGAGGGGTGGAGAGAGAGGGAAAGAGAATCCCAAGTGGGCTCCACACCATTAGGGCAAAGCCTGATGTGGGGCTTGAACTCACGAACCTCAAGAACATGACCTGAGCCGAAGTCAAGAGTGAGACCCTCAGCCGACAGAGCCATTCAGGTACCCTTCCACCCTTCCTCGTCTTAACAGGGTTGCCAGTGCTACTATCTTGCTCTCCAGGCAGCAGGTCTATGCCTGACGAAGCATAGTGCCCCACCCACTTGGTCAGGATAATGGGGTATTCAGGGATGGGGGCCTAATCCAAAACCAACAATCACAGAGAACTTCTCTGAAATTATTTATGTATGGACACAGAAAAAGGAGAGCTTTTTCTCTTCTTTTTCATCTTGGATTATGAGCCATGGGAACGCATGTCTGGAGCTACCCCTTCCTTGTGATCATGTAGGAGAAACACATTAGCAGGAGAGAAAATGAGGCCACCACTCAAGGAGAATCAGAGCTAAAAAGGAGTACAGTGATGAACAGACACATTTAATGATGAGTCCCTAGAGGCAATATGCTTCCCCCACCCCTAATTTTCCAAAAAAAATCCCTTTCCTTTTTTTAGTATAAGCTTTTTGGAGTTGGGTTTCTGCCATTTGAAACTGCCCAAGTTCTTGACCAATCCTTGGTCTTTTGGTTACCTCCCAAATCACCCTAGGCACATACACACATTGTTTATGCACATAGAAATGCCTGTGCTCAACTGAGTTCTCTATCATAAGAGTATCCAAACAGTTATAATTTGATTAAAGTGCAGTTAGTCTAAAAAGAATATGGATGACTTGAGTCCCTTTGCTATATTTTCCCTAAATTGTAGCCTTAACATAGAATTGTGCCTTGTCTTTGGTTCCTCTGTCCTTGTATTCAGACTCTAGTCCTGAACTGGCACATTCACCCACTCCTGATGTAATTTGATCCTCTAGTTCACCCTGCCAAAGACCCTGCCAAAAGCACGTTCAGAAGCTATACGTTTCCTGGAATCGCGTCTTCTTGGTTCTCAAGATTATAAAAGACCACTTAGAAGGAAAATGATTATGAGGCTAAAGAAGGTACATTAAGATTTTAACAGAAATCCAGGCCGACTTTGGAAGGCAGCTGGAAAACAGGACCCTCCTCCTCCCACCTTCTCTCCTCCCAAACAAATGCCATATGTCTGTTCACAAAGCATTCTGGCTCACCGCTATGTGGTTGACCTTCGGTACTGAAAAGATGCCAAAAACACTTGGGACCTAGTTTTCCTCTCAGCTCATTGGTACAGTCATATTTAATATGGTTGAGGAAAAAATGAAAACTGTGATAAGCAGGATGGTAATTCTTCAAAGCAGTGCTTCAGTGAGATATATCTCTAGATGTTTCACTGTATTTATGATGGCTTACAGAAGAAGGAGCCTTTTGGGCCTGCGAAAATAATGCTTCTGGTACCTGGGGGTGCACTCAGATCACTTCAGCGGTTGTGCCATCTGTATAACATCAGAGAAGCAGGACATATTTACTTCTTTTTTCTAAGTACCATGAATTAACTCACAGGTCAGTATATTGGATGCGGGATTGATAACAGTGTAGTGTATTATTCCACGCGTGGCAAGGTAGATGATATGTCTTCCTAAATTAAAATGACTTTTGTGTTGGTTTTCTAGGGCTGCTGGAGCAAAGTACCACGAACTGGGTGGCTTGAAACAATAGAAGCTGATGGTCTCATAGTTCTGGAGGCTACATGCTTGCAGTCAAGGTGCTGCAAGGACCGTACTCCCTCTGACACCTGTAAGGAAGGATTTTTTCCTTGCTTCTTCTAACATCTGGTGTTTGCCAACAAGTCTTGCCATTCCTCGGCTTGGAGATGCATCACTCTGATCTCTGCCTCCATCGTCACATGGCCCTCCTCTTACTCTGTGCCCTTCCTCTTCTTCTAAGGACACCAGTCATACCAGATTAGGCCCTACTCTAATTCAGTATGAAATCATTTTAATGTGATTACATCCTATTTCCAAATGAGGTCAGATTTTGAGGTACTGCTGGTTAAGATTTCAACATATCTTTTAGGGGGACATAATTCAATACATAAAGCTCTACTGTTGCTCCTGATTTATATACTAATGCATGCTTCTCATAAAAACAGTAAAATTATTAAGAAACATCTTAAGAAGAAATTAAAAATCTACATTTCTACCACCAAAAATAACCATGTTAAAAATGTGGTGAACATCTTTTCAAATATTTCTCATAGCAATCAAATGGTTTCTTTTTTTTATTATCAGAAGTAGGTCAAGTTTATGGACAGAGGCAGTTAAAGAGTCTATAGTTTCATGGAAATTATAATAAGTGATACAGTGGTATACCTCTTCTTTCCTTTTTTCTTCATTCTTTCTTTCCTCCTTTCCTCCATTCCCTTCCCTTCTTTCTTTCTTTTCTTTTTTTCTTCTCTGCTTTTTTAAGATTCTATTTATAATCAGTCTCTACATCCAACATGTGACCTGAACTCACAACCCTGAGATTAAGAGTCATACACTCCTCTGACTAAGCCAGCCAGGTGCCCCTCCCTCTTTTTTTTTTTTTTTTAATTCCACTTAAACAACTATCTTTTTAGGAAAAATGCCTGTGGATAAGGTATCTCAATAGAATGAAAATATACATTTTTATTCATATTACCAAGTTATTCATGCAGTAAAGGTTTATTTACTTCTATCAGTAATGCATGAGAGTTCTAGCTTCTTCCTCTGATTATAATTATTGAAATATATAGGCTTAAATTTTTAAATTCATGATTATTTAAAACTATACTCCCCTTAATGAAATTCTAAACCATTGTTCTCCTTTATTCTTAGGAAATAAACATAAATCCATTTTTATCTAGTTCTTTTGTAATTTGATTTTTTAATTTTTAAAACCTGGACCCATCCAGAATTGTGTGTGTGTGTGTGTGTGCGTGTGTGTGTGTGTGTGTGTGGTGTGTGAACCTGCAATCCAAAGGTTTTGATAGAATTGAGTTTCATTTCCTTGTCTTGAGTTTTAACTCACTCTAAAAATTATATGGTTTTGGAACATAAAATCAGTGTGTTTCCTGTTTCCTTTCCAAGGGATCAGATTTACTTAATAAAAGACCCGGTACTAATTCACAGAAAAATGCATTTGCAAGGAGGAATCAGGGACATAATGTTGAACACATAGTCAATAAGCAGTACTTGTGGCCTCAATACCACAGTTAATTGAATTTCCCAGCATTCTTGCCATAACTACTCCCCTTCTCTCCCACTCAAAATAGCCTGTGAGATTGTGAGAATAAATGAAATTACAGGGTTAATATTTAATCCATTCTAATTTGTTTTCTTTAAATTGCAATATTGGCAGACGTGAGTCTTTTAAATTTTCACTAGTTCGGATTACTTACAAATCATCTCCCCAAGCCTTTATAAGAGACTTGAGTTTAAGTCCCCTGGTTCAGAGAGGCAATGGAAGTTTTGGAAGGCAAAAAAGCTAAATCACAGAGGGAAGTATGCTTCTCCCCAGAGAAAACTGGTACAAGCCCATATGAGGAGTTTCAGTCAAGCTTACCGAAACAGTATCTTCCGATAAAATGAAGACGACATCCCTCAGTATCTCTTTTTCTGGACCCTCACATGGATTCGCTATTCAAGAACATTTGTTCTCCAAATACACCATCTTCACACTGGTCTTTTCCTCTTAACTTTCCATTAGGTTGTTAGGTAATTTTGTCTGTTCTCTGTCTTTTCAACATGTATTCAAGAAGAGGTAGCCTCAATATCTTGTCTCAGGTGGATGGCATTTCATGTCAGTGACTTGCTATTCAGCACAGAGATCAGCCTCCTCATCCTTATCTCTTTAAATGAGTAAATGAATACAAATTAAAGTTTTAATCTTTAGACTGTAACATCAATAGTATTTTCACTACAAGTAGTTTCATAATGGTCTCATTACTGTTCCTAAGTGCAACACATTGAGACGTTTAAATTGTTGATTGCTACTACATATATTCTTTGAGAACAGGTATCCAGGTAACCATGGCAATGCTGTCTCCAGGCAGGATGGGAGTGGGGTGGGAAACTATTTCATTAATTGAAGGGAAGGGACTGAAAAGGTATTTTCAAGCTGTGGATCAGAGAGAAAGAGAGAGAGATGGGGAGAGAGAAGTAGGTTCCACAATCCTATTTTCTTTTCATTATCAAATTATGCAACCCAGGCAAACTTCAAATTATGTGAAAGGTTTAAAGAAATCATAAGATTAAATAAAGCAGCATTCTTAGCCCTTCCACATTATTACAGTGATTGACCTGTACTAGATCTTATTTGGTTGGGTTCTTACATAGTCTGATTGAAACTTGATATATCTACTGAGAAAGCAGAATTGTGTCCTGTGTTTTAAGGCTAAAAAATGGAAGAATATTCACATAAGCAAGAAGGCTGTGTAGGCGGTCTAAGAGCTCTATTTATTTCAAGCTGATGGCACCCGGAAAAGCTGATATTATCAGTAAAATTTTATTTTCAACCTTCCTTCCCTGCTTCCACCCCCACCCTTGATAGTCAACATTTAAAAACTATATATACAAATGTAATATATATATTATTAAAAAGATATACCATATAAGAGCTATATAAAGGGTATTTATTATATTTAAAGAGTATTATATACATTTATATAATCAAACGTAAACAAAAGAGAGCATCTGGAGGGATATGGAGAAAAAAACACAAACGTCTGATAAGGCTTCTCAGAGAAGCCTAATATTTTGCTTTCATTTAAAAGGTACTGCAAATTGGTGATCAGATCAACTTCTGTTATTTAGCCAAATGTGTCCCTTGTGTAACTTGCTGCTTCGACTATCTGACAGACATGTTCTAACGGACAACTGAGGATTTGTAGAAACCCAATTACCCAGATAGACATCCTGGCTTCTAATATATGTTGGCCACAGTTTGTAGCATTTCTTTTCAAGTTAGGCCAACATATGGGACCTTAGTGACCCATGTTGAATCTCTCCAACTCCTGATGAATGTCTCTTTGGTGCTTTCTGTGTGCTGCATCATCTAATTATTCAGGAGGAAAAATAGCCAGAAAACATTAGACGCAACTATTACCAACAGGGAAATGAGGACTTGACTATATTCTAAGAATCCATTCCTCAAAAGCTAAATCCACATTTCATCCATCACTGGGGAAGGCAATGCAGGAAATTTTATTTACAGAATTGTAGAAAGCAACCTAACTGGGTGGGTAATTATTAACCAAATGAATTTCATTTTAAAACAAACATTTCTCCTCTGCCAAACAGATTTCTATCGTGGACAGCAGTGAATTCCCCCAGAATTAGGCCACAATTCAAGGTCTGAATTATAAGAGCTGCTTGGGTCTGTCCAAGTCCAATGTACGGATTACCTTGATCCCCACCGCAACCCAGAGGCTTTCAGTTACCAGGAGCTGAGTTGTGTTTCTGTACTAGTTGCTACTGCTGTTCAATGGCTGTGTTTCCAGGGCACACTCACTAGGAGAGCCAAGGGGAAATGGCAATGGCAATTTGTTTTCCTCAAAGCTTATAGGACAGTAGGGACAGGCATTTTCAGCCCTGTCATCATTGATAATACGATATTATATTAGGTACACATGAGTCTGATATTTGAAAGCAGAAAATCATCATGCACGGCAAGCTAATCTGAGAAAAAATATTGCTGATAGAATGGAAGAAGAACCATTGTTTCCAAGAATAAGCTGAGGGCTAGAAATGGAGGTAACACATACCTGTGTCAGGTCTTTTGGAGAACAAAGTGTTACTATGGATCCCTGCCTCATGGCCCGTGTGACATAAGCTGCTGGTGAAAATATTGGGATTACGCAGTGGCCACAGGTGACCAGAAGGCTGAGTGGAATTTCCTACATTTGGGTTGTTAATTCTAATGCTAAATTTAGTGTGAATTCTAATGTTACTGTTTGAGCCAATCCAGTTTTTACTCCTATGGATTCTATGAAATCACTCATCTAAAACCTTTTTACCCTTGTGCTCCATTCCCCAAACTGTAGCTACTTAAACAATGCCTTACACAAAAGGGCCTACAATTAGCCAGTAGCTAGTATAGTCCAACTCCCCCCCCCCCCCCCCCCCCCCCCCCGTGCAAACTTAAGCATTCCACTTGCAGGCAGTACCAGATGCAGAGAGACAAGGTCCTTTTTTGTTTGTTTGTTTCCTCCAGTGTGGCTCTGTTTTGTTTTTTTTTGTTGTTTTTTTTTCACTTGGAGCCTAATGGAACACCAGCAAGAACTTGCATGCTAAGTGATACTTGAATTCATGGTTATCTGTTCTTCCCTTCTGAGTTCTGGGGTGTAAGTGAGAGCATCTCACTGAAGTTGTCCCTTCAAACGACACTGTAATCAATGGTGTTACTTCTCTGAGTCCCCAAGTCTGCTGCTTAGTCTCGGCTCTTTGGAAGACTGAGTCAATTAGCATAAGTTAGAACTGTAAAGCAGCGAGTATTTTTATTATCTGAAATCACACTAGAACTGCTGGGCCAAGAGATTACAATTTGTCACTGAACGTGGATGTATAGGAGAAGTGTATGTAGAATATGTAAAACCTTTTCTATTCTGATCTGCATTGCAAATAGAGATGCTAACCAGAGGTCTCGAGGAAATAACATAAATAAAACATGGCTTCACCACTGCAAATGCTCAGTTCATTCCAGAGGAGGCCAAGGCTACAGAAGGATTGTTTCCATCTAAACAATTCCTGTCTCAGGAACTTCCCTTCAAGAAAGTG